GTTCCAACCTAACATTTTCATTAACCCGAACTTCATTTTGCGAAGCCCCGCTAAAAGCACTTTCTATATGTCTACCTAGTTTCGTTTTCCATTGAATACCGCGTTCCTGATATTCTTCACTCTCAGCAATTTCGTTTTCTAAATCAGCTATACCGATTATCGCTTCTATTTCACTATCTAAACCATTAAGATTCTTTATCTTTTCAATCAACTGGTTTCTTTGATTATAAAAATCATCAAGTTTTTGTTCTTTACTGTAAATTTCACTTAAAGGTTTATTTATTGCGTCTTCAATTTTTGTCAAAAGATTACAAAAAAGTTGCCTAATGCAGTTTTGTTTCTCCTTTCAACTCGTTTCACCATGTTTGCATAAACTACTTCTGTTTTCAAAACTGAATTTCAAATCAATTTACATCAACTAAATAATCAAATCACCACTATAAATTCAAAACTTCCTATCACATACAAAATCATAACACTTCAAGAACTGAATCTAAAGGGACCTTACCTCAATCCATGGTCGTGAATCAGAAACTTCCAAGACAATGGTTCACATTCCATCCATCAGAAGGTAAGCGGTAATCCCATATTACGTCCGTAGTTCGCCAACAATTTGTGGTGTCTTCGTTTTGAAGTGTTGAGTTATTTAATTCACAGTAGTTGTCTTTTGATTATTTATTGAAAACAATAACACAAACATGATTGAAACAAATATGAAATATCATACGCGGCACAGTGCCGGATCTATACATCTTACCATATCATCGTTCCTGTGTATTTTAACTATAACGACGGGGGTTATTTTCCCCCCGTCGCGGGTAAAGCCAACATCAGTTTCCCTTTAGGGAATTTTAGTTGAATCATTGATCCTAACGTTAGTTACGGGGGAGCTACTAAATAATTATTCTTTATACAAAAATACTGACAAGGTGGCAGTTTTTTTTTTTAATATTTTTTGCAATTTAAATACAGTTTTATCTCAGCGCGCAAATCCCCATCAAACTTTTTTGTATCGTATCCAGAGGTATGCATATGTGTTAAGAATAAAGGAAAGTCATTGTTTCTGTTTTTTAAATTGTTACGTTATTCGTGTGCCAAATGAAAATTGTCTTACGCTATTATAAAAGCCACATCTTCTTTAGATTTCAATTTGCATGTAATAAAATCATGCGATAATTATGATCATTGGGGAAAAGAGCTCATTTTTTCGTCTGGGCGGGATGCAGTGCATCGCATAAAAGTTTATTTGAATATCGTATGAATATGCCTTCTTGAATAATACGTAAGATAGCAGGAATTATTTACTTACGTTTATACACAAACAAATGTTAATTAAAATATACTCGAAATCCTTCTGCTTTGCTTGAAATGATTCTCCGTGTTTAATTGTTTTAAAACGATATGCGTATTTAGTTGTGGCTGTTGAATAGTATGCGGTTCCTATAGATATGAAGTTTTCTGCAATAATATTATTTCAGCCTGGGAGTGTGACCACATTTTCTCTTTCCATTTTCATGCACATATTGTCAGCTTCAATCCTATCTGCTAATGACTGAAATGCAGGTAGTTTTGTAATTTTGTCTTTGGTTCTAATTACCGGCAGTTGAAAGGACTGGCTGCTTGTTCCGTTTCTTTATCTGTGACGTGAGTGCGAGATACGAGCCGCCTCCGCAAAATCACCCTTTTCCTAGGCAGATAACCGTAGTGAGATTTGCTTTGAAACAAAGTAATCCAACCCTGTCCTAACTTTTCAGTCCTAGTAAGCTTATGGTAATAAGAAATGAGCTTTGCTTTTCCGTTAAATGTAACAGCACTTTTAGAATCTTATCGACAACTTTCTGAAATAAGAGGCAAAAGAAAGATGCATGAAGGATCCCTACTAAAAATTACAAAAATGTATCCGCCGCTGCTTGCGAGGCATAACCTAAAGGAAATATTTAAGGCCATCTTGCTTCCACACACCTAAAGTAAAACTCGTCAAAAGCTCAAACAAGTTAATCAAAGATCACTCCTAATTCGCCTCTTCTGCTTTGTTGTACCAGCTGAAGAGATGCAGGCCAGAGTATTTGGTTTATAAGTGTGAAGAACAACGCCAGAACGCCTTCGCTTTCTGCCTTTCGTATCAGCTATCCCGATATTAAATTTTACGTCTTATGAACGAATTTGTTTGAATCGGGAGAAATGATCGGACGGAAATAACTTGGAGAAAATGAATAAGAATTAAAACATTACAACCGCCTTACGTGCTGCCTTGCTCTGCATCTCTAGGTCGGCATCACCATTTTACCAACTTTAAAACTTCTTTTTAATGTGGCATCTTTTGAGTTGGTAATTTGAGAATTTCGTCTCACTTTTCTTCAAATACACTAATATTATTTTTATATTATTAACTTTCTGATAATGTAATAAATGTTATGAAAATGTTGTATATATCTTACCGCTAACTTGTTTCAAAGTATATAACGTCTATGTCTGGCGATTGTTTTGGAAGCTATTTGGAAAAATTTCGTCAAGGCAGCTATGGAAACGTGATCGGAATAGGTGATCACAAAATATATCAAGTCGTATCAAATATTGCTTGTACTTGGGTTGATAGAATTTGTTTCGATAAAATCCGTTTGAGTAAAAACAGCATCTGAAATTTATATTACAAAAAAATGAATCAAATGTTAAAAATTTGGATGAAAATCCGAGCGTCAGCATATTTTTTCGGAGTACGTGTTATCCATGTTATCCAGGCCGATAGTTTGCTCACACATTTTTGGCTAACAAAACATTGCTTCAGTGCTGCAGATTATGTTTGCACTGTGTAGAAGAAAACTTTTCTTGATTTAGGAGTTGCAAAGAAATATCCATGTCCTAGGGGGGTGGACACATCTGCCATTCTTTGTCAAATGACAAATATTCACTAATAAGTATTTTGTAAAAATCATGTCCGTTGATGAAAGGGATTGTATCTAATTGTTGCAACGTATTTCGATGAGGCAATGGGTGAAATAAAGAATTCTGCGTTGTGTCTCCCTAATTTAATTGTTGGCTGTACTGGTCAGAATATTTCAATGATGATTATTAATAAAGTGAGTAGATTAAGTATACCTGTATCAAAGTACATTCTGTGCAGATAATGCACCTGTTACGAGTGGCAACCTTTTTGAAAAAGCATTAAAATAATTAATCATTATGTTACTTAATATATTTGGCTGTTGTCGTTACATCACAAGTAAACATAGATCAAATTTGGTATATATATTCTATTACTTAAAAAGAAGCGCTAAACGTAAAGTGAGTTTAAAAACATTCGAGCAGCTTTATGAAGAAGAAATCAAAATATTAAAGTAATGTGCACACGGGGTGGCTTTTCCTTTAGCAGAGCTCTAAAAAAGCTAATGGAACAGTGGGATCCCTTTAAAAATTTTTTCACGAAGAAGCGAAATTAAAAGTTCAAAACTGTTGATAAAGACAAGCATAAGAGGATGAACATGATCCCAAGAAAATCAAACTGAATTGAGGGGGATCCCATAAAAGGAGAATGGAAAAATATAGTTTAGTAAAATATATTTTATTATCATCATCTGTTTCTGATTCTGAAGAACTAAATATGCATATACAGTCCGCAGTGCTCGTGCTTTGAAGAAAATGAGATATTGCTGCAAAAGCAGTAAATTTGTCGAGCCTTCTTTATCAAAATGTAAGATTCACGCTTCCTCTCTGATAACACAAAATCTTAAGAATATCTTCATTATCAAATATAAACAAGGCAGTAAGTATTATGAAGATAAATTTTCTTATTCCTTTTAAACAAAAGCAACCAGTTATAGTGAATATATTAAAATTAATTTGTCTGATTTTTCATTTTCTTTCTCTAATTATATTTAAGATATTTGCGGTTTCCCCACCCCCTGCCCGTACATTTCACGTTTCATATTCATCTGAATTTTTTTCAGGGGGTCTTCTGATTTTTACTTTCGCAAGGTTAGCAGATATGTGCATGGCGCAGCTTTGGGAAAAATAAAATGCCATATAGTGCTCAATCAAAGGAATATGGAAGATGTTCCAGTATTGCAATCCGTTTTCCAACCAAAAATTACCCATTTTGCTATATGGCTGTTGGGCTATGTGCCATTTTACCATACGAGTGCTGGCCATTTTTTTTTTTTTTTTTTTTTCTCTCTCTCAGCTTAATGAAAACTTCTTTGTAATAATTCTGGTTTTAGTGTTTTGTCCTCTGGTACCCATTCTTCCAAAATGATGTACGCTTGATATAAAAAAAAAATGCAGTTACTGTCGCTTCAATTTTGATTTTCTGTGACGAGATTTTTTTTATTCTTGGTGAAGGGAGGACTTTCCAACGCATTGATGATCTTTCTGTCACCGTCTGCCCTCCGTCTTTTGACTCCCTTTGCTTTATTGACGAATCTTATATTTGCAAAGGTATATATGAGTAATTTGTTAAGCAATGTAATGCTTATCCTAGAGAGCTGCCTTTATGGAGAACCATGCAGAAGGAAAAACATGTATATAGCTACTTCATTTCAGCACTATTAATAACAAACTCGGAACGAAATTTTATTCTGCTGTCACATTGGCTTGTCATAAGCAGATAATTTTTAGATTAGCTTATTTTGTTCTTCTTTTGATGTTGAGAGAAAAAGTTAATATGTGCTTTAAGTCATGAAAAAAATGTCTTGATTCTTTAAAAATGTATTTTTTATTAAAAAATTTGCTTAAAACTAGTCGCTCTCTTTGATTATAATTCAATGTATATATTTCTACATTATTTTGCCTAAGAAAAGACGGATTAGTAATTGTTTATTACTTAAGAATTTTGGAAGAATTGATTTTTAAACTTTTTCAAGTGCAAATTAAATGAATGGCCAGTTCTGTTGAATAACTCTTAAAATATTTAATTTTCAGTATTTTTGTCTCTTTTTCTATGCATACTTGTCAATGAATTCAATAATTACTGCAAATTCCATAACAGAATGTTTATTTTATTTAAGGACGGTCCCATATGGCATTCGTGCGTCATGTCAATAATGAAGGTGATGGAGATCCATTTTATGAAATAATTGGCGTTGTCACCCTTGAAGACGTTATTGAAGAAATTCTGCAGTCTGAAATTATTGACGAAACAGATGTATTGAGTAAGTTATTTTCTTTGAAATAATTAAACTTTTGACTTAACCCAGTTGATGATGCATATATGTCATAAAAAGGTGACAACATGTCATATGTGTCATTCAATATGCCTTCAAAAGTCTAACAGCATATTTAAAATAAATATGATCAAATTTGTGTTTGTTCTTTACATTTTAACTGGAATGAACATAGTTAAAACTTATCATATCTGAAACCGTTAGATTTATTTGTTTCTATTATATATATTTATATATAACTAAATGAATTTAAGATCATACAACATTATATATATATATATATATATATATACAGTTAATATATAAATTTTAGGACTAATTTGTACAGAATTGGAAGCTGGGGGGGGACTGCATTCTTACTTCGTAGCCGTCAACATAAAATCAAGTCCGTTGAGAATGCTGGCCAGTCCATACGGGTGACATCCTCCGATTGAAGCCATTCGCTTACGATGTTTGCACAGTGAGGACGGGCGTTGTCATCCATAAGCACAAATTGTGTGCCCATGGCGCCCTGAAACAAACGTACATGTTGTTCCAGAATGACGTCCCGATAGATTTGGCTTGTCATGGTTCCAATTTGAACATGCAGGTCAGTTCTGGAACCCAGAATATTTCCACCCCAAACGAGCACTCCTGCACCACTGTAACGGTGTCGTTCAATAATGTTTTCTTGGTGGTAACGGGTACCTGGAGCTCTCCATATGAAAGTCCGGCGAGAATCAGACTGCAAGCTAAACCTGGACTCGTCGGAAAACATCACACAAGCCCACTGTTGCGGTGTCCACAATGCATGCTCTCTACTCCAGGCTAACCGCAGGCGACAGTGAGTTCAGTAAGTGGAACGCATCTAACAGGTCTACGAGCATATAGACCAATCTGCCCTAAGCGTCTGTACACGGTCTGCCTTGAAATTGTCGTAACAGTGGCTGAAGAGAGCTTGACGAGACAGGTCTGAGGCTGTGCTCCGCCTGTTTCTTTTGGCAGTAACTGCCAAATACCGGTCCTTATTCGGCGTTGTAACTCTGGGGCGACCTGTGCTGTAACGTCTATTCACATTACCATCATCTTGGAATCGTTGTCAAAGCCTGGAGATGACACTCTGGGCAATTCCAAGTTCGTCTGATACTTCCAGTTGGGTACCCCCACATTCCAGACGGCCGATAATTCTACCATATAAAAAATCATCCAAATGCGTCCTTTGTGTCATAACTATTCGATTATTGAACTGAAATGCTTATAAAGCGCCTGCGAACAATTTTACTTCTTTGCCTGTATTCCTTATATGTCACTCTCTTACACTCTCATCATTGTGACGTACCATCGGTGTCATCTGGTTACTTCCTGAAATTTGTATATGGTTCTTGAAGATGTGTGTAGTGATTTTACAGGTGATATATTTATTTTAAAGTTCGATTTCCGCGTGACTCCGAATTATCCTTAATTCATGGACATGAGTGTATATACGTATGATTATTTACACTTTTAGGAGCAAAAGTCCATATATAATGCGTAGCATGATTCATAATAATGCCAATTTATTTCATAGTAGAATTATAATAATTTAGCCAACACTATAATTAGATAAAAGGTTAATTTACAGGTGATTCAAAAGGTTAATTTAAAAATGGTATGGCTTGTATTAAGCCAAATATCTTTTGTTTACTTACTGTTATTTTCTCTTGGGAGAGGGTCGAATATGTAAGATAAAAAATATTTAAATCAAAATTATAATTTAAATAGCAACTATTCTAATTCAGAAGTCAAACAACAAAAATCAGCGTTATATTTACAAAATTTTCACAGAGGCATTTCACATTCATAAAAATCTTTCTGTTCTAGTTAACGATCCTAATTCCAATCCAAATTTGCCTTCGGCCTTTAAAGAAATTTGTTTTAGTTCTGGTTTCACCAACAGATGGCGCCACTTGCTTATTCTTGTCCAGGTTTTCTTATCTTATCTAATCATTATTTCCTATCTGGTTCATTTGCGGTTTTGCAGCTGAAGATGGTGGTTCGGTAAAACCATCGAAACTAGTCAAGAACTGTGAAAATTTTGTAAATATAACGCTGATTTTTGTTGTTTGACTTCTGAATTAGTATTTATTCGGCGTGTTATTGTGTCTTAATTAGCAACTATTCCTTAATTTTCCCTCTCTGTTCTAGGAATCATAATAACTTTTCTGGCTTGCGTCATTTCTAGATCAATGCATCTCATATGGTTTGCATAACACTAACGACGTAGCTAATTCGGACCTTAACACAAAATTTTGAGAACTTAAACCTTTCTAACCTAAACCAAAACCTTCCCTTCGTGAACCTCCAAACTGAATAACTGTGTACTTTCTCTTCAGCTCTGTTGCCAACAAGACGTTACTTTGATCGCTGATGTGTCGTTTCACCTCTACTAGCAATTGTCCATTGTTCTAAAATATGATACGCTATATAAAATTATAGGGTGTATACTGCACCCATGATGATGCGTGATTAAAAATATGTTTTGATAAATAGTTCGTGTCCATCAATAAGACTTACTTACATTTGGCCACGTCTCTCTGTAAGCCTCTCCTTCGAATGTTATCTTTTCTAACTACGTAGATAAGTCTCTCCAAGTTATAATGGAGAGAGCCACCGCCATCCGTTGCAGCTTTCTGTAAGTCATCTTATTATATATATATATATATATATACATTAAAGAAATATTGATTATATTATCTCCTAATATTAATTTTAGTAGAAGTATCTAAAAAGAGTGAACCCATAGGTAAATGCTTTTTCTGGCCTTTTATATCTTCATGTACATTCCCTTTTTCTTATTCTATATATATATATGTTAATTTTCAATTTTTATTTGATTTTTTTTTTTTTTGAAAAGATTGCATTATATTTCTTACTTTTCTAATGTTTATTTCAATTACTTTGAGTTCTATTTCATAATGCCAATTTCCAATGTTTAATTTTTACAAATAGTTTTGAATTAAAATGCATAAACACGAGGGTGTCGGGGGACAATTACTCAAGTAATTTATCAATTTTACTGCATAAATTGCTTTTCACTCAAAATTGTATTAGCGAAAATGCTTAATCTGAATGAGTTCTTTGGTGCTCTGCTTTGGTTCTGGATCCATTCACCTCACGGAAATATTTGGCCTAACTTAATTTGCCAGTTTGGCATCACCTTATTACTTGAGTAAAGGACGAAACACCTTTATTTATTTATTAATTATTGTTCATTGAACGGGAGTTGCTTTGTTCCCTTTGAAAAGTTAACTAATTTCCGATCAATGGCAATGATTACTTGCTTTTAATTTAATTTCTTTTTCCAATTCAAATTTTGTTATTCATGATTTAATTCAAGTCCCCGTAAAACATTTGTAACAATTTACATTCAATTACTTTAAAACAATTTTCGAAATTCAACTTACTACCTATGGGTTCACTCTTTTTAGATACTTCTATTGAAAAATAATATTAGGATATAATATAATCAATATTTCTTTAGTAAATAAATTATTATTATCTTACTTTGCAGCTATTGCGCAAGTATTAGAATAACTTGATTTCGAACTAAGTGAATTTAAGATCATACGACATTTGATATATGTATATGTCTATACACACACACACGCGCATCTCTCCTTACCCAGGTTAAAAATCCTTACCCAGCCTTTATTTATGCAGCCATTGGTCATAGTCATATATACTTCCAGTTACAGAAATGTGCTAATTGACAAAAATATTCATGCCTTGGCAATGACAAAAAAAAAAAAAAAAAAAAAAAAAAAAACCCGACAAATAATGGAATCTGTATACAGGGTGTTCTGTAAATGTTGCGACAAAATTCTGTGGGAGATAGGGCGCATCATAAAGATTAAGATTTGTATAGAAAGCCATGCCCGAAGATGTCAATGGTAAGTGGTACCAGAGGTAGAAGATGGGCAAGGAAACAAGAGAGTTATTAATTTGAAACATTTATTGGACATAAATGGTGTACGACAGCTTGAAAGTTACAGCAGTTGCTCGATGTTTGCACCATCAGATGCCAAACATGCCTGACACCGACGGACCATTGATTGCTGGACATGTCCAAACACACCAGGGGTTTCTTTGATTGCAGCAGCTGCACAGGTGAGTCTTACCACGAGATCCATTTCAGACACAGCAGGATCGTGATACATGACACTTTTGATGGCTCCCCATCAACAAAAATCAAGGCTGAATAAATCCGGTGAGCGTGGGGGCAGGGAACGTGTCCGCTACGCCCAATGCATTGATGCGTTAATGATCTGTTCATATGGCTACGAACATCCAGTCGAAAATGAGCAGGTGCTCCATCATGTTGGAACCGCATTGTTCACAAGCTTTCTGTTTGTAGAGCGTTCCAAGCTCTTCGTATGGTGCCTACTGCTCAAACGAGGTAAACCTCACTTTCCATTAGCACCCTGCCAAAGAAAGTCTATGTAAAGAAGGAAAGACTCCATAGACGTAATGTAAACCAGTTTGTCTTCTACGCCGCTAGAAAGAAGAGGGACAATTCGCTAAGGGATTTGGCGACGGAACCTGTTGGCGAAAATTTGCCCCTTTGTGATGTACCTGGCCGAGATTTTCCACCTCCGCCACGTGTACAGGAAATTGAGGAACACGGGTTAAGATGAATCGTTGTTTGACTTTTCGCGATAATTTAAACTCGAATTTTCGTGCTTTTTTGCTTTACTAGTTGAACTTGTATTATCCATATCGCAGTTTGATGTCTGATTTAATATCTGTCAATATGTAGGGAAAACAAATAAAGTCACACAGCTTTAAACTCTTGATAAACGTGACCGTCGAACCTGTTTGAACTTCGACATCAGCTTCGAGCTTTGGCGCTTTTGGGCGACAGATATCTCACGCATGCGCAGTTGTGTCCCTTTTCGTTCGGAGGGAGCCACTCCTGCTGCTGCGAAGCTTTCCTTCTTAACAATATTCTTTGACCCTGCTATACAACAGCC